AATGCGTTGAGGTGAGATTACCTGTTCATATAAAAATAAAGTCATCAATTAAACCTATCTACTTAATTCTATGGGAATAAAGATGATCAAAACTGCAGACTGATTGGCAACAGGTACAGAGACTGCTGGACATCGATACAGTTATGTGAAACTCCAGTTCAGGACCACCTGTATGATCTATTTCCAGATTAAAAGGTCTTCCATCCAGTTTGAGATTGCAGCAATGGATTCAAGTGTGATTAAGTCTATCTGATTGATAGGCAAGTGATCTTAGGACAAGAGCATTTTATTATAGAAATCAGACTACTATTAAATATTAGCATTCTTAGAAAATGCAGCTGTAAAGTCTTCTACATAGGGATAGTAAGTCATTAGGTTTAATCTTTGAGAATATACTTACATGCGAATATCACTATTAAAGACTAATCTTTGTACCTAATACTAGAAAGTATTTTCCAATTATAACTTTCAAATTACTTTAGAAGTATATACATAAGTATATGTTTTTTCCTTCTCTTTTTACTTAAGGATAGGGGAAAGAAAACAGAGATTAAGTGATTTATCTGAAGAGTCACAGTGAGCTGATGGCACTGTCAGAAACAGAACCAATTCCTAACCAACACTCAGTTGACAAAACCAAAAAGGCCCACAAGGAGAAGAAACACCTTGATGCTGCAGTAGTTCTGCAAGTTTCCTCAGTATCATATCCATGCCAACCTGCAAAGATGGGTGTCAAAGAATTTTTACTTTTAAATTTCGCAATGCATCTTGGAACTGTAAAACATGCAGGACTAGCAAATACCATCAAATATAATATACAACATAACGGAAAGTGTATTCACCCAGTTTGCAGATAATGGAGCTCTCTCCAGGTAATTCTAGTAATAAATCTTAATCCTAATCAGCCATCTCCTCGCTATTCAAGTATTCGATCTTTTTTTTCAAAGAACAGAACATACAAAGGAATTGATACAAGCCCAGCAAAGCTCCTCTCTTTTGGACTGGAGCATGACTTATTGCTCCTGTATGAAGGTGAAAGGCTACTGAATCACTTCACTCTGTGTCCTGGGTTACATTTCAGTTCTGAAGAAAAATTAAAATTAAGAAACTAAAAATGAGGTTTATCTGCCAGGTATGCAAAACAACGTAGTTTAATATTAAAGAACATTCATATTTCTGTATCTTGTCTTACTCCCAGTTATGATTGTTCTACCCAAGACATTTCTGAACAATGTTAGTTAGACTATAATACAAAGAGCAATAGAAAGAAACGAGGAGGACTGAGATCTCATGCTGTTTTACACAAAATTGAAGGAAGCAGAAAGACTAGGGGTCAGGAAAGACTCATGGATATTAGAAAGCATGCAATATGCACCTAATGCAAAAAACCTCCCAGTTCACGTTTTAGGTAAATATTATTTCCGTTTCTCAGATATAGAATACTACCTAAAAACGAAACTCTTGACATACAGCTTTTTTCCTACCCCATGACATGTAATTATCACAGCCATCATCACGTCTGTGGTACAAGCTCCTGAATGAGTTAAGGTATTCCTGACTCATTGTAGGTTTGCTTCAAACAGTAAGGTAGCGCATATGTTTGTGCACCTATGCTTGAAAAACAATGTTCATTTTAGAAGAAAACCAATGTAAGTCCAAAGTGACATCCCTCTGTGGAGCGAGACCTTCAGACTGTGCACAGATGTTCTCCTGTAAGCGAGAAGATTGTTCTCCTGCCTGTGGAAGACCGAATACCTCCAGATACTTATCACAACACTTTTGCTCTACTCATCCATGCAGCTGAAGTAACTTCTCTTTAATTTACCTCAAGCAAAATTGACAGGGTTTGCTTAAACCGGATGATTCTCCCTAATGTGATTTAAACAATGCATATACAAACTGGGCTCCAAGGGCAGGAACCTCCAGCATAGGGATGGTGGTGAGCAGCTGGAGGAGATAAACTGTCCCACTAATACAGCTGACTCTGCGACAGACTATGTCAAAGACCTCGATGACACGTCCTTTGAAATCAAAAGACATTTGTCTCTAGAGTCCAAGGCAAATAAACAAAACGTGAGACAAAATGTGCTCTTAATAATACAGAGTTACTACTCTCAAACACGTACAATGTTGTGGTTTAAAAGACACATGAAAAATTATTTGTTTTCCCTGGACAGAACAGCTTTTTGGTAGGATTTGCCAAGCATATGGAAGCTATATGGAATAAGCAATATTGCCATCTACTGGTGACACAGCTAATATCTACAGGTTACTGCAAAACTTGAAATATTTGTCAGAAGAAGAATAGAAAAGATATATATCATTTTTTCAGTGCATAGCATTTGTTTCTGTATGCAAACATTAAAATGTATTCTTTGCTAACAGTTCGTGCTCAAAGCTTCTGCCATTTAACAAACTTTTACATAAACAACAAGTTTTTTTAAAAACATAAAGGCAAAATTTCATTTCAGATTTAGTTTAGATCACCTCCAGTCACTGGGGTAACGGACACCCACCAGAAAATGGGACGCTGATCTTGGCATTACTAGTGCAATTCCTATAGCACCATACTTTCGCTGAAAGCACTGGTAACGCTCTGTAGGGACATAACAGCCTTTGGGCCAATCTTTTAGCTTTGAGTAATTTCTCACAAGACGTAACAGCCCTTCCAAAATGCTGTTGATCAACTTCTTTCCCACCAAATCTAACCTGAGCTGCTCGTTCACCCAGCCTCTACTGAATTATCTCTAGCTTCATCAGGTCAACACTTGAATCTCTGAGTCACTAACAATGGAGTAGGAGTCGACTATCAGTTGTGCCACAACGAAGTAAGAACAATGAAAATTGCACAAAATAATCATTGCAGCATATTAGTATTCCTTCTCTGAAGCACAAATGCTCACTGAGATATCTGTTTGATATTCTGCGTGGCTGCTGGCAGCTGGATGACACGATAGGTGGCAAATTCACATAACGCCATGAACTAAGGAATGCATTGGCTCTCCTGTAATGCAAACTGGCACTCGCTTTTGCTTCCTACGTGTGCAGAATCCCACGTGCATCAAGTGCTCCTCTGGAACACCAGCACCCGGTGGGTGCTGTGGGCCTCTAACTGTTTTTAGTGGCCTTACTTAAAACTGAGAACATTTAATATCTAAGAATGGTTCAGGAACTTTAAAGACACTTACTATTAAAATAAAGCTGGCTACAATGCTAACATTGCTTTGTCTTTAAAGATTAATTCATAATTTTTTAATTGATGTTTAACTACAGAATCTTAAATTACTGTTCAAAACAAGTTTAATGTACCTATTGCATTCCTCTTGTGCATGTTTACAGTCTCATGCTGAAACTGCAGTCAGGGCAATTGATAGGTAATTGTGTGATGCTCACACCAAAGATATTCGGTACCATTCACGTATTCAGAAGATGTAGTAATAAAGTTACAAAATACATTCGTGATGGAAAATACTCCAAGAAATGAGAAAAATGGGCTGCAAGATAAGTGGCCTTCTGAAGAAAAGATAAATTTGTGTCAAGGTTATTGTAAGCACTTTCAAAAGCATAATTCTGATTAACATAAACACTTAAGCATGCATGTATCTATAATCAGGATAACTCATGCCTAACACTAAACATATGCTTAAAAGGCCACTGCAGATTAATGCTTTTTTATTGCACCTTAAGCACACGTTACTCACTGTCCGCATAAGGAATACTTCACAGAACAGGGCTGGCACCAGACCAGACCAGACTGAATGCTTCTGAGTATTATTCTTCAGTTTTTGCTTTTTTTCTTCTTTTTTTTTTTTTTTTCTTGGTAACTGGTCTCTTCCTTTCCATGTGGGAGATCACAGTTCTTACACCATATGGAGATGCAGCAGAAGCCAATTTAAACTTGGGCTTGTAATGTGTCAACTGTGGAAAAGACTATTGCTTTCATTTTCTCAGCGCTGCTGATGGATCTAGTGTGTTCCGATTTTTCCAACAACAGAGACTGTCCAGATACCTTTCTATTCCTGTCAGACTTTTTAGAATTTGCTTTTTCTGTATGCTGAATTGTAGTAAAAGAGGCAATACCAAAAGGTAAATAATTACAGAGAACAAAACCTTTTGCTGCATTTGTTGTCAGGATCTGCTTTGATCAATTTTGCATGAGCATGTGCAGATACATTTGTGCCAATTCAATTTCACTCGAATGTCTGTCTGCAGGCATGGCAGCACTTAAAGCCTTTGGTCTACAGCAAGGATGGTATTATAAAAAGATTAATGTTGGTTTTAAAAGTTGTTTCAAATTTTTATCTTCCATTTTTTTTTCAAAAGTAGGAATATTTCATGTGGCTAATTCATGGCATTCTACAGGAATACAGACTCGTTAGTTCATTTTTAGCCCCCTCTCCTTTTTTTCTTTTTTTTTTTTTTTTCCAATCTGCTGCATGTAAAAGAGGCCATTCCTTCCAGACTGCAGAGCTTTAGGTGTCCTAAACAATAATTAGTCTTACTTTCATCACCATTTTTATTTTATGTATTAAGTCTCATAAACAATAGTAAATGTGTCGGAAGAACTGCCTCTAATACTGTTTCGATAGCAGCTGTGGCTGTGTCAGTCTGTAAAGTCACTCCTAGGCAGTCTCAATCTACTTGGTCTGCTCACAGCCATGCAAAGTGAGACTGAGAGTCTCCTTAGTTGCCCCTTAAAAAAAAAGGCAACCTTGCAGCAATAATCACAGTGAATGAGACTTGTTCCAGTGAAGATTTCTCTCTTCTCTCAAGCTATTGTTCTATTCATACTCAAGCATAAAATTATTGAAATTGCATTATGTCAGACCTCAGTAATTCCCTTTCCACATTGCAACTAATGCTGGCATAATCTTCTTTTTCAAATATACACAAAGTCATTAGCCATAACAGCATCAATATGGATTTTTCATTTGAAAATATATCAGCGTATTTGCCATTTTTTATTTACATGTACTGGCTTATAATGTATAGCCTGGCACTTGCCTCATTTCACTTTTACCTTCAAAGTAGGAATGTCTTATGTCTCCCTGCTATCAGTACATTTACCAGTGAATCAGACAATTTCTTTCATTTACAGCAGACAAGTTCCATTCCCAGTGAAAACAGAAGTAAATTTTTGTGACTTTGGATCCTCTTTTTATTCATTAGTACTCCACTGGTAAGTCAGATTACCATCTGTAAGCAACTGATCCTGAATAATTTCAATGACTAATCCCCCCAAAACTCTCTCACACAGATTCAAAGTCATGCTGCTTTAATTAAAAGAATAAAAATAATGACGGCTATTTGCTATATCAAATTCATCTTCCTCTGACCTTTCTCACAGAATTAGAAATCTTGACCCATCACAGTTTTAGTGACAGATGTGGCCTTTAATTCTTCAATAACTGTTTCAGCCTCTTTACGTTTAGGGTAACTTTCTAGAATAACAAGGATTCTCGGAGCGTGCTGAAGTATTCTGTAGTCTTTCATTCAGCTTTTTAAGAAGTTGCAATAGAAAAGCAGCTTTTGAACTATACACTGAAAAGGTGAAAGCTTTATGATTTGGATAAGTAACTTCTAGACTCCAATACACTAAAACTCAGACTCCAGTATAACACAAGTCTTGCGGACAGTCCTTCCACAATAAAGGAAGTTAAAAGGGGCTTAGATGCTCGCTTATCCCCAAACAGGACATTTAAAGACATTCAAGTGTAAAAGATCCTATAGAGAATGAAGTTGTTAACAAAGACAGTAGTTGTCCAGGATGGGACATTTTGTAATTGCGCATGATGCTTTTCTGAAGAACAGAAAAATTCACTCATGAGAGAGACAGACTCTTGACATCTCCTGAATTTTTTAAGGCACCAATCTGACTTTTAGGGTCACAATCACCAGAATTAAGGGGCTTCAGTTTTTGCAAGGCATTCAGGCACAACACCATTTTTTCAAAATAATACATAACAAATAAATAAAAAAAAAAGGCTAATGAATAGCTAGAAGTAGCAGTTACGGTACAAGATAACTAATTCAGCAATACACAAATACTTCAAAAAACTGCTGTTAGAAAATAAGCGATCTTTTAAGCACCTTTAGCACTTTTAGCAACTGGCATACAAACGAATGCATACCTGCACAGAGAAAGCTATGACTAATTTTGTAAGAAAAAATAATTATTAAACCCAAGATATTACACTCAATAACCAGCAATTACATACAACAGCCTGAGACCAAGTATGGCAACTGAAAACTAGGTGACTTTTCAAAGTGCCTCTGGAAAAAACCCAAGACTGCAGTATTTTTGGTCATTACTGATATGCAAGAGAAGTAGCCTTCAGTATTTACAGTATCACAGCTTGGTAAGTCATGACTGACTTGATATTGTTAAATTACCACCTGCAAAATGAACGATGTGCAACACATAGTAAGACAGTAACAAGAATATGCTGGCCAAAACAAAACAAAGACTAACCTCATAAAACTCCAAGTTCAAAAGACTGCTAGATTTTTATTTATTTGTTTGTTTTAAATTCTGAAGTTGCCCATTTACCTGAAAGAGAGAGCTCTGTTTTTCTGTACCCGGTGCCTTTTCTATCCAGGAATCCAGTGGTTTCAGTGTATTGGTATTCTGAGTAACAACAGGAAACTTAGCTGCCAAGGTTGGTCTGCTGGATACATGCAACTGTTGTTCTTGTTGGACTATCTGGAGTTTTTTCAATAACTCTTGAGGTGAAATCACCCCAGAATTGGCTGCTTGATTGCCAGAGAGAGAAAGTGGCTGTCTAGGAAGTTTGGATTGTTCTTTACCAAGTGTCTGAGACTCTAAAGTCTGGCCTGGTAGGGAACCATTGAAATATACCAAAGGTGGCTGGCTCATATTGTTTACCGGTGCTGCTGGTGCTCCAACAGCAGCAGGAGTCCCGCTGAACACAGAAGCTGTCGAGTTCACAGATCCTGTTGCGCTGGGGTCCATTTTAGTCACTGACCCTGACTGACCCTGTAATTTCTGTAATAAGCTCTGAGTGCCAGCAGTATCCTGAACTACATGAGACGTTGCAATACCATGAGAAGTCACAGGTTGGAAGAGTCCTGTGAAAGTCTCACCCACAGGGTGGATATTGCCATTTTCACAGAGTCGGTTCTCGGGAAACTCAGCAAGTGGATGAAGGTCTGTCCCACGCACCATAAGCTTCTGAATGGCGGGGCAAAGCTGTTTCTCTGCAGAGGGCGAATGGCTGCTAGGTTCTTCGTAGGACAGTGAACGTACCACACCCTGCCTAACAGGAAGATTCTCTTGATGCTGTTTATTAAGTGGTTCTGAGACATCTGGCTTTTCCTGTTTTCCAAACAGCGCCGTCAAAGACAAGTGCTGTGGTTCAGGATCCACATTCTGTGAGGGGACAAAGGAAAAAAGTAAGCATAGTTCCCTCGTGCATAAGTTACATTAAGTGGCGACAATATTTAGCCAGCAGTATTCAAGGAAAAGCTGAGAAAACTGCTATGCTCTTTCCTCCCAAGAGAATTTTTAATAGTTTTGTCACATAGGAAGGGCAAGAAGACAGTTGTCAAACTGCTAATGTGGGAGAAAACCAGTGAATCTGAGAGATAGCAGTGGCTTCACTTTAAATACCATGGAAGAGCATCTTTCCCTTTCACCCAACCCTTCCCTATCAGCTACAATATTAGTAAGAGACAGAAATCTCCTGTTGTGTCAAGTAGGGCCACTTCTTGTGCATCTCCCTGTCACAGCTGAATTCAGTGTTTAGGATTTTGCAGTGTGATTTAGCTTGAAGATATATCAAGAGACTTTTCTTTATTTAGATTAACTGAATTCACCTAAAGAAAAAGAACACAAAAAATGCGACCCAGCAATTGACTAGATCAGCTTGCGATCAAAGCAGCATCTGAACATTGAAAGACTAGTGTTTCTTCGTTGCATCAGGATAGCATGCCTGTAATTTACATGCTTCCACATTATATGGTGGGGGTTGGAGGCTTTCTATAAAACACATTAGTTTTTCATTAAAATAATTCCTTACTGAGGTTCCACCTCAAATTCTTGCACTGACCTTCTGACTCAAATAAATATTCCTACATGGCTACTCGATCATAGCAGCACTAGGCAGAAAACACACAAAACATTTTACCTTGCTTTGCTGAGATATTCGTTGATGCTGATTTTCACTAGGCTTCACTGGAATTGGTTTGATTAGGTTGGGGTTGTTATAGATTGCAGAGGAACTGGTTATTTGTTTTGGCTCTGAGCAGGTCTTACACTGCAACAGAAAAGAAGTATTTTTTAGTAAGTGGAACAATATCTTTTCCCATAGCTCTCCACTGTAGTAAAATCCAGAGCCAAGTACTCAATAACCAAAAATATTAGTTGCAGCTCTGATTATGAAATGTTATGCTATTGAAAGAACTGTAACAACTGCAACCTAATTTTCTAAAACCACAAGGCATATGTAAAAATAAACACTTGATTCCAAGATTCCCTGAGTATGAGGCTTCCCTCTATTTAAATCTCAGTTCTCTTTCTTACCTTCTGCTTTTCCAGCACTTAAAAAAAAAAAATTAAAAAAAGCACACCTTAGAAACTAAGCAACAGACATGCTTTTCCTGCATCAGTAGGCAGCTAGAAGTAGTTTAGATACATGAAGGATTAATGTGCCCATAAAGAACATTTAAAATGCTTTTTGTTAAAAACTGGAATTATAACTCAAACTCTTTTACATAAATATTCCGCATTGTGGGAACTTGGAAGACGCATACACCCGCACAGAAAAATAATTGAAGATTTAATCAGTTTGTAGAATCAGTATGTTTTCTTATTAAATATGACAGGATTAATAACAATATTTATAAAAAGATGGGCAGAGACAGATGACAAACTGATCAGAGGCATGGAATAACTGACATATGAAGAGAGAAGGGCATGATTTAATTCAGAAAAAACACACAGAAAATGCTTCATCAAAGAGGAATAATAAATGGAATAGGAAAAGGTGAATAAGATGGTCTTATTTACATTGTACAAAAAATAAGAATATAGGCAATGAAACTAAAAAAAAGCATTGGGTATACAAGGAATGCTATTGTCAGTAGAAAAGAAAACAGTATATTGGAAGTCATTGTTGCTTGATACAATTGAAACCAAGAAACCGGAAAGATTTTTTTAAGGATAATCTAACAAAAAGTTAATCCTATCTAACAAGAATATTCACAGTTAATTACCTGGATTTGATTGGCTCTAAATTTTATGCTGCAGGACTAACAGTTGGGTAAGGAATGATCAGTTTTGGTTTCTCATTCTTTCCTCCAAAGAGCCCAGTCTTGTGCATTACCGGGGACAGAACTCTGGACTGGACAGACTGCCATACAGACACACAGCAGAGCTACTGCTGTGCGATTATGAAAATGTCAGTGTCCTTTCCAGAACTTTCCGAGACAAACTCCTTAGGATGCAAATGTGTTAGGTGAGAAAATAACCCCCCTCTCAAATATACAAAACTGATCATTTAATCCATTTCTGACACCTACCGCAACAGTAAACAAAGACACACTGGTTCCAGGGCTGCTCAGTAAAACAGAACTTGAGTTCTCGAGGGGCTCTAGGAGGTACTCAATGCCTTCTTTGCAACATTTATCCTCAGGAATCCCAGGCCCCTGAGACTGGTGGGAAAGTCTGAAGTGATGAAGACTTACCCTTGGCAGGGGAGGATCAGGTTGGGTAGCACGTAAGCAAAATGGACATGCACAAGTTCATGGGACCAGATGAGATGCACTCGTAAGAGCAGAGACAGCTGCCTCTCTCATTGTGAAACCACTGTTCTTGAAAGGTAAAGGCAACTGGGGGAGGTTCTCAAGGACTGGAAGAAAACAAATACCAGTACTATCTTCAAGAAGGGCAAGAAGGAGGATTTGGGGAATTTCAGGCCAGTTTGTCTCACCTCTATCCCTGGGAAGGTGATGAAACAAATGGCTTCCAACTGGAAGGTATTTCTAAACATATTAAGGACAAGAAAATGACTGGGAGTAGCCAGCATGGATTTACAAAGGGGAGATCATACTTGATCCACCCAATAGCCTTTTACAGTGAGATGACTGGCTCAGTGAATGATGGGAGAGCAGTGGATATTGTTTACCTTGACTTTTGCAAAGCTTTTGACAGTGTCTCCCATAACATCCTCAAACTGATAAAATGCAGACTAGGTAAGTGGACAGTGAGGTGGGCAGAAAACTGTCTGATCAGCTGGACTCAAAATATTGTTGGCATGAAGTCCAGCTGGAGGCCAGTCACTAGTGGTGTACCCAGGGTTTGACATTGGGGTCAATACTGTTTAACATCGTCATTAATGACCTGAATGATGGGGCAGAGCAGGCTTGCAGACAATATCAAACAGGGATGTGTAGTTAATAGACCAGATGGTTGTGCTGCCATTCAGAGGGACCTTGACAGGCTGGACAAATGGGCTGACAGGAACATGGAGTTCAATCAAGGGAAACTGAGGAAGAATAACCCTATGCAGGACAGGTTGGTGCTGACTGACTGAAAACAGCTTTGCAGAAATGGACCTGGGTGGACAAGAAGTTGAATACGAATCGGCAACATGCCCTTGTGGCAAAAGAAGGCCACCAGCATCCGGGCTTCCCACGAAAAGAAAGATGCAGACACACATGAGTGAGTTCTTTGAAAGTCTATGAAGTTGACTTAGGCACCTGTCAAGCAAGGATAGGCTTAGTTTCCAGAAGAGAATGCTCAGGATATAATATCAATGTGTATAAATACCTGATGGGAGGAAGTAAAGACGACCAAGCCAGACTCCTTTCAGTGGTGGCCCGTGAAGACAAGAGGCAAAAAACAGAATACATAAAATCTTGTTTAAACTTAAGAAAAAAAACTTTAGTTTAAGTATGTTTGAATACTGGAACAGATAGCCCAGAGAGGTGGTGGAGTCTCTGTCCATGGAGATACTTAAAACCTGATTTAACATGGTCCTGAGCAACCCACTTTTGCTGATACTGCTGTAAACAGGGAGGTTGGACTAGACTATCTCCACAGGTCCCTTCCAATCTCAACAATTTTGTGAGTCTCTGCTGAAAAATCATCTTGTGGGTGTTTGGACAGTCAAAGACTTCTGCAGTGAATTTCTGAAGATACAATCTTGCAAAGTAGAAGTGTAGTTCCACTCATGTACCTGGCTTTCTTCTATTGTATGACCATTTTTGGTTCAAATGTTGCTCTTAGAAATAACGTTAAAGCATGCACAGACAATCATGCCATAGGGTGGTTAACTGTTTGGTTTGAAGAAAGAACAAGCACCTGTCTCTTCTTTCCTTGTATACCTCTACTGCATAAAGTGAGAAACTTCCTCAAGCACTAGATTGGAAAAAACATGAGGAATGAAGTACTGACTTTGGCAATAATGCAGAACTTCACAGCAAAATTGAATTTCGGTTAAATATAAATCCGCATAGCAAGTGCCTTGTGGCTAGCGCAAGCAGGCCACATTCAACATATAAATATATTTAAACTCAGCTACATCTTTTGCCCTTTCTGGGGTGGGGGTGGGGAATCAAAGAAATAATTTTACTAGAATTTTACTATTTCATTCACCCAAAGCCTTTCTACCTATCCCACAGTGCAATGCAACTTTGATCACTAAAGATGTCGCAAAATTCAAATAGAGAGCTAAGTCCAAAGACTATTCATTAGAGCAAAACAGTTTTCTTTTAAAGCTAGTCCATGTTTACCTCCCTTCTTTATGATTCAAAGCCTGATTAATGGAAGCACTTGACAGAAATCTACACTTAATTCAAGTTTCAGTTTTGCTTTGCAATTCTTATTTAAAATAGTTATGAATGAATTGCTATGAAGAACCATAACAGAAAGAAGCCATGGAAAAAAAGTGTAGAAGACAAGCCTACAACACTAACATAACTATCAAAGCTTTTACACTAAGGAAAAGTTTCCTTTCCATTTATTAGCTCTGAGTTACATTTATCAATGCACTGCTCAAACAAATTGTTTTCTTAGGTTCTTCCGAGCTTACATGTTGTTATCCTTGAATTTGAATCATAGAATCATAGAATTGTCAAGGTTGGAAAAGACCCTTAAGATCATCGAGTCCAACCGTTAACCTATCACTGCCAAGTCCATCTATACCATGTCTTCAAGCACCGTATCTATCTGTTCTTTAAATACCTCCAGGGATGGAGACTCAACCACTTCCCTGGGCAGCCTGTTCCAATGCTTGACCACCCTCTCGGTGAAGAAGTTTTTCCTAATATCCAACCTAAACCTCCCCTGGCGCAGCTTGAGGCCGTTTCCTCTCGTTCTATCACTCGTTACTAGGGAGAAGAGACCGACCCCCATCTCGCTACAGCCTCCTTTCAGGTAGTTGTAGAGAGCAATAAGGTCACCCCTCAGCCTCCTCTTCTCCAGGCTAAACAGCCCCAGTTCCCTCAGCCGCTCCTCATAAGACTTGTGCTCTAGACCCTTCACCAACTTCGTTGCCCTCCTCTGGACACGCTCCAGCACCTCGATGTCCTTCTTGTAGTGAGGGGCCCAAAACTGTTGAGTAACTTTATTCTTTTGTTTGTTTTCTACAAGCTTTATTTTATCATCATTTCCAGGCAGTTTATATGGACCCTCAACAATGTCCTAGTACAGAGCCTTCTGTAACCTCTTCAACTTTTTTTAAATTTTAAATACACTAGAAGAAATGACTGAATTATTCTTAAGTCACTTTCCCCACCCAGTTTCTGACTAGTGACTTGTGTTGTCTCTCATTCACTTAATGACAATTAGGCATCTTATGCAGTTAATCATCAGATGAAAGGTTTTTTTCATAGTCCAAATAAGCACTTTCTGTAGCCCCTATTTGATCTATACTAAAACAAGTGAAGATCATTTTCTTTTTTAGATTGGACAGATCCTAACCCGTTATGATACTACATAGACAAAACCACACTTCAGTAAGATTAAACAGCTTTTTTTCTCCCAAACTGTTCTCCTCCTACAGGATGCTGCCTTTTCTTCAATATTTCTCGTTCTTATTGCTATTTTTCAGCATACCTTTTCGGGCAAAAAACATATAAGGACATATTTAAACTTTTTTCTTTATCATGATGGATAACATACTCTTGCATATTTCACCATGAGTTCTGCAGAATTTAAATAAATCGATTTGGCCCTCCAGGATATTTTAATAGGCTGACTTCTTCAGAAATCATGAGTACCTTAGTCCACTGTCATACTCTGCATGATCACAGAACTAAGCACATAAAACCAAGGTGAGAAGCAGTAGAGTTTAACAGTTATCACTATATGAACAATTTTCAGACCAAATTCCTCAGCAAAATGAACAGCAGTATACACAAAGGCCTACAGAGAATGACATTGACCTGACTTGGTATCATTCCCATGATTTGATAACATGGCTAGTAGGCTGCTATCAAATGCAGGGAAGTATGCTGAAGAGCAAAAAAGCCTGTGATGATTTCAAAGGAATCTGTAACTATTGGAGCTCAGAATATAAAGTCATTTTGCCAAATGGGTAGCATGGCCTTGCTGATGAGTACATTAGGAGCACCAGCATGACATTTTCAGCAACTGTCAGGTGGATAGGTAGAGAAGATATCAGATGTCATCATCATCAAACAGCAAAAAGCAGCATGAAAGAAATGTCACCATGCTCTTTAGTGATAAAACCAGAAGAGTACTGATCAGCTGTGACCTCTGACAATTACTACGTCTTGCTTCACAGGTCTGTCCTTTAGTCACGTGTCTTGTTCAAAGCTATGCTCCTACAAAAGATGCATAAGAAATCAAAAGATTCTAAGACCAAGTCAAAGAAATGCTAAGCAACATTGGAAAAAAACCAGACGTATGTGGTGAATGTCAATCAAAAAGAACAAGACCACCACTTAGGGTGTTTTAGGCAAGTTTGGTATAGTCAGAGTCATCCGAGGCAAACAACTGCTCTGTGTTGTGAGATTTCATAGTCTACCTGTACAATATGAAGCTCAAGCTGAACAGAACATTGTCAAAGGAAACAAACAATGAACAAGCATGGTACCTCAGTATTGTAGTTCTGAAGCAAATATCATGTCACATCTCAATCTCATGCTCTGCAGCAAAAACCTGACTTTGAGACATGTGAACTGAAAAGACCTATCAATCAGGTACAAGAAGGAGATGCTAGAAGATCTGATACAAGGAGAGAAGGCCAGCCAAGACCCAATGGAACTTAGAAGAGCTTTGTAAATAGATGGCTATGCTGAAAGTGATGAAGTTTTGAAGCTGTCAGAGCTCGAGCACAGAGCCAAGACGACCTGGAAACTGGGAATTTCTACCTAGCTGATGTAAAGCAGCCACAAGATGACATTAATGAACAGTCACGTGAAGGTGTACAAGGTGCTCTGCAGAAGAGAGGGGCTAAGGAGGACAAGAACTATCTCACAGAAGAGCAGTAGCAGAAACGATTTCCAGTCAGAGCCCTGCTTAAATGAGACATACAGAACCAATTCATACTGTTTAAGAAGAGTACCGTAGACTCTGCATCATCCAGGCTGAGTATGACACAGTACCCTCAGGAAAGCTAGGCCTTCTGGGTCCTACTATCAAGTCTTTCACACAGTTAACAAATCAAAAGCTAAAGCACCTGAAAACTTAGAAACTATATTCCTCTTTGGGCAGGGCAGTACCACTGGAACATTTTGCTGAAAGACAGTGAAGAAGCAGTCAAAGAACAGAAACAGAAGCCCAGAGACCATGCTTGCTCGCTACCAGAAACTATGTTCTTATCAAATAGTTGTGCGTAATGAAGAGGAAGCTTCAGTTATTTGGGGCACATCAGCAAGACAAAGGATGTCCACCTAATCTGAACTTTAATAGGTCAAGGATGCTGTAGTAAATGGGTAGATGCTGTAGAAGAACTGTGCAGCACAGAGCTAAAAGCAGAGCTTGTCTTGTAGTACAAGACAAGGCACAGTGGTTAAAGAGAAAAACATTTTGTCATGCTTTGTTCTGTACCCTAGCAGCTCTTCAACTGTTTATCTCCCTAGCTATCATTATGAGGCCTACTAATGCCACTTGTTCTTACCAGAAATCAAGAAAAGGCAAGTGTGCATTAGAAGTACATTTTTCAAAAAATACTTCAGTGGTTTAGCAACTTAAAGCTCCATTAACAAAAAAAGGAGGGGAGAGGCTATGTATTTTATTTTTCATGTAACTTCTAAATGTGTAACTTAATTTGGGAATAAGATATACCCTTCAAAGTTAGTTACACTCTTAAAAAAATAAATTCATCCTAGGACTTAAAAATTGAGCAAAATTCCTTAGATGCTTTGAAAATTGATGTTCTTATTTTACAGCTCCCAATACTTTAGAACACCCTCTTCTCCAAAACCACACAGAATTAGAAAAGGAGAACAACATATTTCATAACTGTTTTCAGCACATCAGCATTTTAAGTCACAAGACATACACTGGCAAGGATGTAGATGTCATAAAGCAGCCAAAAAAGCATGACTGCTGTGAAATATATTGGTATTAAATACAAAAATGGTTGTCATTGCCTTTATTTATCACACCCTTCCTAATTTTATATTACTAACAAAACAAGAAAAAACCCACATATCCAGTTCTTAAGAGGTCAGATACTCCTAGTATTTATGTTCCAGATGAAGAGGACGTTTTCATGTTATTTCCTTAGCAATCACTTCAGTGTAGAAAGATTAAACATGAAGTAAGAAGCAAATTTGCAAAAGATCTTATCCGCAGGAAAAAAAATTCAAAAACCTATTATTTAAACAACAGATCTTCTAGAATTTCCTCTACTTTGTCTTGATTTTCTGTGTGCTCATGTAGAAATGGAAGGTAACTTCTTTAAAGATTTATTGCCTCCTTCTCATAGAAGAGATTATTGCCTCCTTCTCATATTTTTCCAGTTTCCCATTTACAGTATTTTTAAAGTTATTTTATGAAAAATGCTTAAACATTTCATAGTATCTCAAATCACACTCTCTTATGCCAAGACTAGATACTGATTCAGTATTAAAACATAGAAAAGATATTAGGTTTTGGAGGTGTTTGTCCACTATAATACATTAAATCCCTATTACAGAAAATTTGAAGGTCCTAAGCTTCAAAAGAAGCTATACCACCACAAAAACGCCTACATTTCACCATAAGTCAAATAGTTGGCTATTATCTTTCTGAGGTTCTTATTAGTAGCCACATTTCAGAAAAAGAACTTTCTTTAAATTGCTTAGGTTTAAGATATATATATTTCTAGACTCAGAACACTTATGGGCTTTATTATTGCATGACGACACATATGAAATACAGGAAACAGCAGCAGGAACCTGCAGGCTCTGTAACAATCTGCAGCGTATATATGACTAGTTAAAATTATTAGATTTTTATTCCCCAAAGTAAAACGTTTTTGATTGCTCAATAATACAGAACATTATTAGTCCATTAGTTACTTCTTTATTTAGAAGCCTCAGAAGACCAATGCAGCGCATGGGCTGAAATCATACTACATTGCAGCCTTTTCATTTCTTTCCATTAGTGTTTGAAAGTAGCTAACAACCACAATTAAAAGCACTAACTTCACTGTTAAAGGTCTTCTCTGAAGGAAGTTATTTGTACAAACCACAGAAACTATTAGCAGGTTTGAATACTCCACCCAGAAAGAGGACACAACTTCCAGGTGCTACTCAATAACCAATAAGCACAGGAGCTCTAAGGGTCAAAATGAAAGCCAATTTATATTTGTTCTTACCTCCTAGCATTCAACAAATAATCAATCATATACATGTTCTCGTTTCAGAAGTTTTTATTGACAGCATTCATTTCTTCTGAATCTTTAGCAAATTCTAAAAAAACTTTTCTACCAGCCACTTCTACACAAAATGAGAGAGCACACCATCCAAACCAATTTTACTCTTGAGTAAAACTCTTTAAAAACAAAACAAAACCTTTTATGTTTGAAAATGTAAAGTGTGAGCAAGTTGGCATCATACTATGACCAAAAAGAAATGTCCTCTTTTTATAGACAGCAAGTCTCACCTTGGTATACTCATCTTTGGCCTTGGTAAGCATCCGTAAGATATCCACTTCTTTGTTATTAGCAGAATTCATGATCATTGGGGACACTCCTGTTCCCGTGCCCTGCTGCGCTTTGAATTGTTCCTGCTGAGTTAGGCTGAAAGTTGGAGGTGAGAGGAGAATATACAAGACAAAAAACCGGATAAAATATAAAAAGTTTAACCACAACTACTTTACAATAATTAATCAAAATTCAAATATTTTCATATTTCCCCCATCTACATTAAAACGTGTAAAAAAATCCCTATTAAAAGATCTATATTAAAACATAATTTGACCAGGCATGAGATTCATTTTCTCCAATCTTGAATACACTAGGCTATAGACTAAAATTTCCGGAACTCAGTCACAATTTCTGTACCAGAAGGAGCAGGGAATTTATAGTGTTATTCAGTTCTGCTAGTGGTGGAGGATGGCAAACACACACAAATCAGTCATTAACTACTAGCAAATGACCAATTTCCTGCCCCAGCTGTTTTATTGTTATTGTAGAATGCTGAGAATTAAAACACACAGCCAATTGGCTGAGCGACAGGGTATTTTTTATCTATATGCAACACTGCTATTATAAACCACTACATGTGGTTTACAATTGCACGAATCCTCTGAAAACTAGTTTTTATTGTAGTAAATTACCAGTTTGAGAGTACCTAATCACCACCAACTGAAACTTGAGCTAGTTAACTAAAATTAGCTGTCAAAAACCTGGGTTTCCTAGGGTTTATTTCTTATTTCTGTAAATTCCTTCCCATCAATTATTTCTTTGGTCACAACTGACTCATTTTAGAGCTGTAGGATATACAGCAAAACGAACAAAACCCCCTAAACAAGCCCCCACCATTGTCACAGTTTGTGTTTCACAATGTTTTGTCACTCCAAAATGAAAAGCAGCAGGTATTACTTTAAAAAAGAGATATAGAGGAAACACGACTACCTTCCCATCCAGTATTTTATAACAAATCCTATCTGGAACATAGTGGTAGAAGAGTTAAAGCACTTTGCTATGGATCGAGATGTGTGAGGATGAGCCTTGTTTGGACTTGTACCGCAGGGCACATAAATGGGCTTTTGGGCACTTGGTAACTTTGGCAATCAAAATTGATGTCACTTCCTCAGCACGCTTCTGGCTACAGAAGCTGTTAAGACTGGGACAGATGACCTGAAAAGGAGAGATTCACAGGTCTGACAGTGCCTTTGCATTGCGCTCTGTTAGTACCCAATGCTGTCAGCTTGACTGTATCCGCCTCCCATGGATTTTCTTGGGATGACAAAGACCTGGCTCTACATCATCCCTCCTCTTGTCCCTTAAAAGAACTGTGACACAATGATCTGTCCAACCCTATATACCGCAGGCAACCGGTATATCCGATCTCTGCTCTTTCCTGTCGGGCTCCTTTACTATATCCTCCATGATAGACCTCTAAAAAATTTAGACTGCATATGTTGATAAAAATCTGTAAGACTTCAGCTCCTTCCTCCTCCAAACAAACATGAAAACCTGCAGAATATAGTCATAAGAAAGGGATCACTGCAAACAAGCCCATCATTAGGCCAACCAAAGGGTAGAGCAGAAGAATGAGCCCTGTCATGTAAAGAAAGCAGTGACAGTGAAAAAACCATCCATGATATTGTTAGATTAAAATACAGCTGAGAATACAGTTCTGTTTGAAATGTTAATCTCTAACTTGATTGCAAAATTAAAGATTGTGTAAAATAATAGTTATGTACATAAAAGTAATGAATTCAGAGCTATGGTCTTGCTTTATATTCCAAAAACAAAGTGAATTTTGTACATATTGCTAAGAAATGAGGAAGCGGGAATTCAACCATGATGTAGAAACAGGATAAAAACCACAGAAATTGTATTATTACAGGATGCCTTCATGATAGCCCACACTTACATTGATATAGGAAAAAAAAAAGGTAACAGAAACATTAAAAAAGAAAATCTAGAAAATCTCCCCAAACTGAAAAATATATTAAAACCCCAAAGAATACAATTCTTCAAAACAGATCTCTGAGTTGTAAGGACATAAATCAGATGAACTGCTACACTCTGATGTAGCTGAAAAGCTGTGCAGCAAATTATGAAAAAGTATTGCAATACAGTGACTTATTTCTGATTATACAAAATGCAGGTGTGTGACAATTTTACTTGCAACAAAGTCTATAAAAATAGGTTTAAAGTAGAAAGGTATGACCATCCTAGTAATATAATGTGCATGTATGTACAGAAATACATACATAAAAAAAGCACAAAAAGTCTTGTTTACCCATCACTTACTTTTTCATGAGCTCTGCAATTCTTTGGCATTCTTCCTTATCATAAAACCAAATCCCATATATGGACACTGTAAATGCACATCAAACACAAACTATGAGCATCTTCTCAAACAGCAATTCTACCTGGTAGATATTTAAAAGTGACCTGTAAAGGAATTTTTAAATTTATTTCTGTCTTATGTTTTCCCCATCTATAAACATAAAAATGACACCTCAGATCCTCCAAAATCAAAAAAGATCAAAGGCATATCTCTAAGGATGTAAATTACAAGCTCTTGAACCTTCAATAAAGGCAGAGGTATTTGATCCTTTTCTTCAGAACACTAAACCAGAGGGTTTTTTTTCTTTAAAACCTTTTCCTCTGCCCATTTTTTCAGTTGTCATATCATATCCATTAGACTCCAGTGGTTAGCGTACTGCAGGTAGTGTTGCACGCGTATATAAGCAAGCAAGATTTGTTTAGTTTTCAACAACCTTCAGGCCTATCTTATATATCATCAAAGTTGTTAGGGTAGTACTAACGCACCTCTGCCTCCCTGCAGATTTCCTATAATGTTGCCCATTATTTTCACCACCAAAGAAGTAATTATCTGTAGCCAACCCCAGGATTAGAAAATCTGTATCTAAGTTCAGACCTCCACTAATGTAAGTGCCTGCAGCTTTGCACAGCAACAACATATTTAAGTTTACAAGTAGTTCAAGATTCTCAAACGTACACACCAATGAAACCATCATGATGGTAATAGCCATAATGGAACTGTAGTTAGTGCAGCTTCCACCATAATAAACAGGGAGCTTTTTCCACTCACGACCACATAGCTCTTGTAAGATAGTGTTGTAGATTTATTCCCAGGCTGTCTCAAAACAACATTTGTTAGGGTAACTGTCCCTAGTTTTAACCTCAGGCACAAATTTGCTGTGAGAAGAGGAAGGGAGAAGTACTTAAAGGGTTAACACGGATCTTCCCCTCTCTATCACCACAACCTGGTGTAACATTCACGTTCCCTTTACATGACATGGTAGCAAACAAGTAGCCGCCATGTTTCTTCCCCCTTCCCCTTCCTACCATACTGTAGGCAAGAGCTTTCCCTTAATCTTACCAAGAATGGCAATTCCTAACATGTTTTCAAACATAGTAGGGGCTACATTTTGTTTGAAAGGGACACAAATGGATTAAGTACCTGTTTAAAAACAATTTCAACACTGACCCCAATCATGTAATCTTTCCTTATATTAGCAGAATCTAAAAGCAATCACTTCTTCAATTCCACAGAAAAAAAATTGTGGCATATGAAGTACAAGTTGGCTTTGTTAATGTTTGGAAAGAAAACGAATGTGCAGCTGTTTGTAAGACACAAGTGTAATACTTATCTCCGTTCCCCCTCAGATTTTCAGCCATGTGTTGTCTTTTATGTAGCTAAAAATGGTTCAACTGTTTAATACGGCATACTGGTGAAAAGCCTAAAAAAACCCACAAACGAACAGCCATCCTGTAGACATACAATAAATAACTTTTAAAAGATGTACAGTCCTTTTTATGATTAACTTTTGACAAGCGTGATGATGATTTCTATTATTCACCTAACAAAAGGCAAGTAACATAATATGCGCCAGTGGTTCTACAAACGTGCAACATAAAAGCTGATATGAACTGCACAAATAATCTCCCTTTTGTAACATAGAATTAATATTAGAATATGCATTTAAAATAGACATTAATATTCTAGCACATTCCAGTAAGCATTCAATAACAAACTGCAAACCTGTAGAAAAGTGTGTGAATGATTCGCAAGGTTCCAAAATACCTATTACGCAACACTACACATCCTTCTGACGAAACACATCTGAAGACTTCTTGTTGTCCATATTACAATGTAGCAAGCAGACTGGAAACACCACACAAGTCAAATTTGTTTTAATCAAGATTCTTCTTTGCTCTAAAAGAATCTGCAATGCAGAAGACTATTGATGAAACTTGGGCCATCTGCTCCATCCTCTCAATTTTTTTTTATGTCTGCGACAGCTGGTGCCATCACCAATATGCAAGACAGGTTGAACAGCTTCACCTTTTGGCCAATTGATCAAACATGTCATAGGCTATTTATGAATATCTGATAAATTTGAAAGCTGACAGTCCCATGGAAATACTGCAGAGCTTCTGGCCATTAAAAGTTGAAAGACTGGAATCAACAGCAGAAACAAGCTGGTCTACCTCAACTCAGTGACAAACACAAACAAACTGTCTGATTACCAGTATAAAAGACCAATTCAGTTACAGAACTACAACTAATATTTAAAAATACAATTCAAACAAATGCATGCCCATTTCAGATCACAGAATAAGGACACTAATTGTTGTCTGTCCCACCAGGCCAAACAACCACCCCAAGAATACATCATATCTTAACTGAAGCTTTAAGTCAGGACATTGCAGATCCAGAGACCTTTAGTCTAGATGTTAGTCGAGCTTCAAACCCACCCACACACGCTTACTTTCTTACCTCAGCCAAACGGTACTTGCAACCCAGACTAGGAAGCACAGCTGAAAGCAAGGTAAGACCAAAACCCAACATCCGCGAGCTTACAGCTCACCCCTTCAGTAGTGAAATCTTTCAGAAGTGGACAGTCCTCCTCTTCTTCCTTCCACACTTCTGCCATTTGTCCAGAGCAGATGAACACTTCAGAAACACACTGAGAAATAATCACACAGCCGCTCCATTTGTTGCGGCACAACGTACTCCGAGCTCTTTAATGCATGGAAGAGCGATGTACCAGTGAGAAGGCAATAACTTGGTAGAAATTTGAGATATCGGGCATCCAAAGTACACTAATGTATGTTTTCATATATATAGGGTGCTCATCACCTGGAGTAATTCATACTACAGTAGTATATTCTGCTATAATCCACATTTAAGGAAACAAAAATGTAAATAATAGTAGTAAAAATGTGTATTAATGGCCGTCTTCTTGATTAATGATGAACACAAAATGGCAAAAAAAAATTTTTTTACGTGTATGACAACACATAAAAACCCAGGACCAGCAAAAGAACCTAAGATGATTACAAACTATAACTGTCAAGCTAGGAACCTGGCACGCTCTCAACTTAGAAAAACTAAACACACATACAATACAAATTTTACTACAAGCTTTCCACCAGCATGAATACACTGCATGTCTTATCAGAATTAAATCTAAACAGATTACTTTTATCCGCCCTCCATCTCTTTCAAACTGTTTGACTAAAAGGAAATCCTGATCTAAGTATCAGCTGTAGAGTGGTAATTTCACTAAAATGTTCACATGTTAAAAATGAATCATTAAACAGCAGAGGCAGAACTGTATCACTAAACAGCAGATGCACAAACCAAATTCTTCTACTGCAGCACAAAAGAGGAAATATTAAGTCACTTTTAGGCCCAGCTTCAGCTATAAAGTTATCCAAGAAGAGATTATTGTAAAAAACAGAAAAAGAAAAAAACAAATCAGTCAAGTATCTTCTGCTAACCAAGTGAGCCAGTTACATGAAAAGTAGCTAACAAAAGCCCAGTAAGGAGAGCTAGTTTTATACTGACAAGAGGGTACACATCTACTCATGCACTTTCAACAGTTCCGAAGTCATTTCCTAAAAGAAATGAGATTTAGTAATGAATTGATCCCATTAAAGAAAAAAAAAAAAAGGCACCAAAGTTACGATGTTGTTAACAAGATTACACAAAACTAGAAGGATATAATGCATCTATCAAATCAACAAAATACAATTAATATTGAATGGGAATAAGCTAAATAAATTACTTAAATTATTGAACTGAAATTATTAAATATTAAGAGATATCAGTCGTTAGAATTTTTAGAATTTGAAAAAGGCAGGTTACTCAAAAATCAAAACTGAAAAATTTTAACAAAATCTGTGAAACTCGTTTAATATAGCTCAGTGATTGAATTTCAGGAAGTATATTATTTAATTTTTAAATCATAACTTCAGAGCCAATTCTACAGCTTCTGCCTTACAATTTCCATTTTTTGGCTACGGATTTCTCCTGTCCTCACAAACACTACAGCACTTGATACTATTTATAAGCAGAAGCTGACAGCTGCTATCTACCAGAATTATAGATGACAATTTCTAACCTCTCAAAATCTGAAGCATTTATTTATTTATTATGATGATGAAGAATTTCTTATCAGCTTTCATAATTCATGCTACGTATCCTATTAAAAAGGAAGGCATTTTCTCTAGGGTTATTTATTTTACTCTTCATTTGCCTAGCTTCAACTTCCAGCTATTAGATTTTTGTCTTCTGGATAGATGTTTCCATTATCAAAGTTTTGGTTTCAGTGTTCAAGCTACTGCTCCACAGACTGCATACAGTATTTAAGCTTGGTAAAAATAAATACAGAAATATCATAAATATTGACTAAAGACTCCCCTGCACCTAGAAACTGTTTTACACTTGCTGGTATTAAAAATAAATAAATAAATAATTCTTCAACTTTTATGTTTTATTGTCGGTATCATGCTTCTTAAGGTACTTTATTCCCTACATATGGCCTAGACTCTTGCTCTTGAATATGTAAATCCACACTTGGCTATATTAAAATGCAGTTTCTCTACACATATCTTACAAGGCAGCGAGACTCCTTTATGCTGGTCACCTTTTTTCTTTGCTATCTATCATTCATGTAATGTTTGACTATTCAGCAAACTATCAGTATTTGCATTTCTTTTTCTAGTACTTTTTAGAATATTGCAGCCTCCATTTTGCAGTACCTACTGAAAAAAGAACCTAAGTAAGTTACACCCACAATAATAATTTTTAATCTATGAGTTCTTAACTTAAAACATGAATTAAAGTATGCCATGTTAATTTTCTGATCTTCTATTACAATGCAGATATGATCCCTTTGTCCACGATGCCGTCTTACAATTACGATACGAGCATACAATGTTCCTTCCACTTTGCTCAGGCTCAAGACTTGCCTGTTGAAGCTCGACATCCTGCTCTGCAGCATAAAGCAAGAGAGGACTGCAACAAAGGAAAGAAGATATAAAAAACCTGCAGCTAAG